TTATACTGCTTTTTTTAATTCACTAACGCTCTAAAAATGAATATTTCAGCCGCAGTAAAGAATCAACGTTGGCGGATTTTGGTTCTTGACATCCTTTACGATCGGTTACGATGCCCAGCGTACGGAGACCTGTACGATTTCGTCAACTTAGTGAGTTTGATAGGGGCCGTATAGTGGGACTTCGGGAAGCTGGACTTTCTTTTCGGGCAATTGCAGTAAGAGTGTAAAGAAGTGTAGACACTGTGGTTAGGTGTTGTCAGGCATGGCTTCGAGAAGGCCGTACGCAAAGAGCCAGGGGCACTGGACGCCGCCATAGAACAACAGAACGTGAAGATCGCCGCCTAAGATTATTGGCCTTAAGGGACCGTTTCTCCACTACCAGCTCCATTGCAAATGAATGGTTTGCAGAACTCACGGGACCTCTTGGCATGCGAAGTGTTTACCGACGAATGAGAAGTTTTGGCTTGTTTTCATACCGGCCACACTGGGTCCTCCCTTTAACTCGAGCACACCGACGTAATCGCCTTGAGTGGTGCAGACAACGGTCACTCTGGGATCAGGATTGGAACAGTACGGTCTTTAGTGACGAGTCTCGATTTTGTTTAGGCATGCACGATGGTCGTGCCAGGGTTAGAAGGCGACGTGGTGAAAGGAGCAATCCACAGTTTTTTGTTGAAAGACATGTTCATCACACTGTTGGAGTTATGGTTTGGGGTGCTATAGCTTATGGTTCCAGGTCACCTTTAATCTTCATCAGAGGTAACATGAACGCGCAGCGTTATATCCACGAAGTTCTAGAACTCCATCTTTTACCCTATCTTGACACCCTGGCAGATCCAACTTTCCAACAAGATAATGCCTGACCACATGTTGCAAGAGTCACAATAGACTTCTTTCAACATAATGATGTCACATTGTTACCATGGCCACCAAGATCTCCCGACTTATCCCCAATTGAGCACGTGGGGATATGATGGGTAGGAGATTGCTCAATTTGCAACGTCCTCCTCAGACTCTAGAAGCACTTCGAGAGGAATTGGTGGTTGCGTGGAATGAGATACCACAGGAGGACATTAACCACCTGATCAGAAGCATGCCTAGGCGCGTTGGAGAATGCGTAGCACATCAGGGTGCATCCACACATTATTAAAGGTCAAAGGGCTTTAAAGCAGTGCAACCATTTTGAAATTTTTATCATTTACTTATTATGCTTCATTAAGTACTTATACAAAATTTTATTAAAATAAAACCATTTAAACTGGGTGTTCGGATTTATATGTCACTTAGTATATAAAGATTTGCCTGCGTTCTTTCTTTTCCCCTAGAAACGTACATACGCTATATGCATACTGAAATACTTTTATCAAAAATATGATTGCCTCTAGTTTGCACAAGTTATGTGTACACACAGAGGATGTGTGTACCAAATGTCTACAAGTTACATTAGACGGCATCTTAATTCTTCTTTTTTCTGCGATTTAATGTTTAAAACCCAATAGGTCCCAACGAGCAACTACCCACACAGCCTTTTCGGCTTCTCTTTTTCGTGTGAAGGAAAAACACCCCTGCAGCTCCTGTACCAGCCTTTCCTCTAAAACTCCTAATGGATTTACGTGGTTCGAATACTAAATCCTAATTGACACTCTATATAATAAATTAAAACACTTCTGCAAATTATATTCTCCCACAGCCAATCAAGTGTCCAGATGGATTAAGCTGGAAGAAAAGGTAATCTTGTCATGACAGTTTGGTGGCAGGCAAAGCCGACGAAATAAAATTATACGCCTTGGAGAAAATAGAGACGGAGCGAGTTGACCGATTTAAAAGATAACGGAAGTAGGGTCGACGCCTTCTGCGATGCCGGGTCGTCTTCTATTCCGAGAAAATCGGAAGTACAAGGTCATTACCGTTTTGTTTTCAATGGAGGCGGCAAGGAGGATCGAAAGTCCGGAAGCTATGATGTTTCTTTTATCTTAACCCTTTGCGGCCCCGTCGATTTTGTTTTCGAGGGGGACACAAGTTTGGCAAAAAATCACGTTAACACGTGCAGCACCCTGGACGGAGGTGACACCAACCCTAAAATCTTAAATGGAAATGGGGGTCGAGTGATGATGAGCTGCCAGTCACAGTGCTAACACATCAAATTGTTCATCGAAAAGACGTAAGGCTGAAGTCGCGGTAAATTTTATCTTCTACACTTTTTTATTGTTGGATGCCTCTTAAGAGGGGCGGTGACAAGGTTGTTTTAGGTTTACTGGATCGTTTTGATTAGAAAAGTCCTTAGTAAACTTCATCTAAAGTTGGGTTGTTTTACGTTAAAAGCAATTTAATGTGTGGCTAACGTTGAAAATGCCCATTTTCAGTAATAGAAAACACGGTTGAAAGTTATTTTTGAGGTTTACAAGTAGCTAAATCAAAGTTTACAACTGCTCCTCTTAGAACCGGTGGAGTATGTTGAGCTTAGTTGATTGAAAAGCATTAATCTAGTAGTTTTGTTAATGCCACACATACCTATCTAATCCTCTCCTAAAACTATTTTTCTTGACTAAAAGCGATTATTTCCATCCCACAAGGCCTATACGATGATGCAGAACCTCAAATATACCTACTTCTTTCTTAGAAAATCTCTCAGCTGCAATTTTCGCTTCTGTTATGCGATAAATCATCGACTTTCTTTGCGCGCGAAGGCTGGAACGATATGTGGAATATATTTTTATGTTCGGAATTCCCTGTGGTGTTTTTTCTGGAAGTCCGGGTTTCTTCCGGTACAGCGATTTACGTCACAGCCTTTCCGGAAAATACATGTAGAATAGTTTCAGCAGCAATTTGTCGAATAAGTTCAATGCTGTGTATAATACAGGGTGTAAACGTTATGATAGTCATTATTTAAATGGGTGATAGAGGGGGTTTCAGCTGCATTGTGCTTCAGTTGTTATTGGACCGTCCCTTTAAGGTCTCCCCAATACCAGAAATCCATCGGATTGAGGTCAGGAGATCTGGCTGGCTATTTTCGAGCATCAGCAGCATTTCGAGCGATCCAGCGATTTGGATAATGTTCATTCAAATACTGAACGACGCCTCTAAAAATGTGTGGTGGTGCCCCGTCATGAAGAAACCACAAACTCTGTCTCCGTTGTAATGGCATGTTGTCTAAGGTCTGTTCAAAAAGTTCTGGTGGTTTATTGGCTAGAACGCTAAGGTATCCTTCTCCTGATAACTTTGGTGGTAACTCGAAAGGGCCAATTACCTGATCGTCAAGAATACCCGCCCAATATTTATTTTAAAAAGTTGTTCGAAATGACCTTCACGAATGGTATGAGGATTTTCTGGGGCCCACGTGTGAGTATTATGGAAATTTAATATCCCGTCTCGCGTAAAAGTACATTCGTCCGTCGCTAGAATGTTTTTAGAAAAATCCGGATTTTCAATGTTTTTGTGCAAAAACCACTGACAGAATGTTAGTCTGCGAGGATAGTCTTCTGGTAACAAGGTCTGCACTCATTGTTCATAGTAGGGATAAATCAAACTTTCCCGTAGGATTCTATTTACTACGGATTACGCGGCGGCCTAATTCCCGAGTGCTGATAGCTGCATTGATTGCCTCGATATTTAAAATTTGTTCCTCCTGATGAGCTTCATCCTAAACTAACAACATGTCTTTTTTAAGAAATTCCATATCACAATGTTGAAAGCTTCAATGATATTTAAAATTTTTTAGACTTTGAAAATGATGAAATTTTGAAAAACATGGAAATTCTGAGTATTTTTCAAAACTTTGACGACGTTCAAAGCTTAAAATTCCTGAAATTTTCGTAGATATTAAAATTTTTGACGCGTCGGTAGTCGTGTAAATTTCTGAGCTTTTGAGGATTCTCAAAATTTTGAAAACCTGTCATGACAACAGTTACAGACTAGTCTGGAATGCAAACGATAAATATTTTCAACCTCAAGTAAGCGTTATTGTTTGTGTGAAATCCAAGGAGAAATTATTCCTCAAGCGGTGTATAAACCTCATGGAAGACCTACAAATGTGAACGTTGAAATCGAAGAGTCCGTATCGCGATAAATGACTGATTACCAAAAACAACATACATAATATGATGAAATATCGAGGCATGTTCAGTTCTTATTTGGCATCGATAATTTTTGCAAGAAGATAAGATCAGATTTCGTGGAAAATTATGTAGATATTCTGACGTCATCACTATTTTTGTTATTGTTATTTCTCAAGCGACGCATAAACCTTATGGAAGACCTACAAATGTGAACGTTGAAATCGAAGAGTCCGTATCGCGATAAATGACTGATTACCAAGAACCTCAGGTCAGCATACATAATATGATGAAATATCGAGGCATGTTCAGTTCTTATTTGGCATCGATAATTTTTGCAAGAAGATAAGATCAGATTTCGTGGAAAATTATGTAAATATTCTGACGTCATCACTATTTTTGTTATTGTTATTTCTCAAGCGACGCATAAACCTCATGGAAGACCTATAAATGTGAACGTTGAAATCGAAGAGTCCGTATCGCGGTAAATGACTGATTACCAAAAACCTCAGGTCAACATACATAATATGATGAAATATCGAGGCATGTTCAGTTTGCTTTGTCTATTTCATTTACTTTATCAGTTGTCGAGTTGGGAAAATGAAAAACCAAAGGCCCTAATGATGCTTGTTTTATACAATTACTTCATCTGGTGGTATAAGTGTCATATGTTTTAGGGTAGCCACAGTTTGGCTTTTATTATCAAATCTTATAAATCTGAAAACAACTTTCTATTAAAAAACCTAAACACCTCTTTCTGAAGTCAAATAATTCTTCTGCATCATTTAGTTTATGTTCGTTATTGCTTATAGCACCTGTTACGTAGTCACCTAAATAAATGTTTTCTATTTACACAAAATGATGAGGATTTTTATATTCTACTATTATCAGTCAAAGTTTTATCTAAATAATCATTTTTCATGAAACAATCCAAAATTTTTCTTAACACATGTTCAACTCGTTTATTTAAAATGTGAATTTTAACATTTTCTGATTGCATTTCTAAATTTAAATCCATAAAAAACGGCAGCACAAAGCTTAAGAAATGTAACTATAGTATGGTAGATGGATTTTGAAGAAAATTTAAGATATTTTGTGCTTCATTGCCATTTTTATTGTAGCACTGATCTGTAAATATAATTTTAAGGCATCATATTGCTCAAGTATTCTTTCTACAACACCTTGTTTGAGAGGGTTGTATAATTTTATGAGGTTTTACTGCTACAAACTCTTGAAATTCTGCAAATTTAAAACTGTATTGTAGATACGTATGAACATCCCTATCCATTTGTTCAACATCATCTGTTAATTTAGCACAAGCATAATTAACACATAAACTAAATGAATGACAGACACATTTCATAATGAATAAATTAGGAATATCGGCTTTTAGTTTGGTTGATAATGAACTATGAATTCCCATCATAGCACTTGCACCATCTGATGCAAAACCTATTAGATTTTCTTTAAAATTAATATTGCACTTTAAAAAATAATTTACAATAGTGTTGTGAAGTCCTTCTGCCGTTGCATCTGCTACAGGTAATAGATCAAAGAACAAGTCAGTAATTTTATGTTCATAAAAAATACGGACCACTAAAACTAAATCTTTAATTGCGCCTTTATCGGTAGATTCATCAGCAATTAATGAAAATTTAATTGTTTGTAACATATTGATAGAATTGTCAAAACTGTATTGCCCTAAAACATTATTGACAATAGCTGTAGCTTTGGTGCGAGAACATGTGAAATTTTTAGCAATCTCTGAATCGTCAAATGATATTTTAATAATTTCTGATGAATGGTCTAACGTATCAAATGAAATGTTATGTTCAGCTGCATATGCAGCAATTTGAATTTCAGCAGTTTTCATTTTGTTATTTAAAGATATTTTTTCTATATCAGTCAACGTTTTTTGTGTGTTGTTTTCCTGAAGAATGTTTCTGGATTTCGGATTTGCCACATATAAAATCTTTGTTGCATGCCTTGCAGAATGCATGATTGGACCCTTTCTTGCTACTCCTCAGCCAACCTTTAAATTCAGGTTCTTGTTCCCATGCAGCGGTATATTTCTCAGTACAGGACTTTATGACCTATTTCTTTTTTCGTATGTGAGGATTCACCAGCATGTTTACAAGTTGATGGTTGAGGTGTAATTAAGGGCATCATGTTACATCTGTAATTATAAAGAAATAATAGCAAACAAATTTAGAAGTTTGGTTTAAAATACATAGATCATAGATATACATATTACAATATGTACGTCTAAGATATCAATATTACATTAATTTATAGAAATATTTTTTCATCAGCTTTAATACTAGATAATTAATTTATGAGTAAACTCTGAAGAACCTCCCCGATCAAGTATAATAATTGGATAAGTAAATATTTTATAATAAATAAATAGGTACTTACCTATGGCAAATAAGTTTAATGTCGAAAAACTTTAAGGATTATTCGTTAATAACACTGGACAACAAATTTTAGTTTCTTAATTGTATCTTGTGGGAAAAGTGCACTTCTTTGTTAATTTTGGGGCGCTGAATCCAAAAATGACAATGAAATAAAAACATTAGTTGCGGTTTAAAAAAAAACTTTTTATTTTTAAGGATATATTAAAAAAGTAACAAGATTCATATACTTATAAGAATCACTATATGCGCTGTCTTTTGGCTGTTCTTTTATGGATCGTTTCTGGAGCATCTCTACCAAGAGTCCAACAGTAGTCTGCAAGCATGGAAGGATTCCACTTTCCCTGGTACCTTTTTTCCATTGATGAAATATCCTGATGAAAACGTTCGCCGTGCTCATCACTTATGGCTCCGCAATTGTCAGGAAAAAGTTCAGGTGTGAGTGTAGGAAATGTATCTTAAGAGACATATTACAGCCCATCTTTTGATACGATGACAGCATATTTTTGACAAGGGTTTTATAGTTGTCAGCTTTTATATTTCCCAAGAAATTAGTGACCACCAGACGGAAATCATTCCAAGCAGTTTTTTCAATACCTGTTAAAGTGTTTTCAAACTGTGTATCTTTCAAAATATTTCGAATCTGTGGCCCAACAAAAATACCTTTTTTAACCTTTGCCTCACTTAGTCATGGAAATTTCTGACGCAGGTATTGAAAAGCTGACCCATCTCTATCTAATGCCTTGACAAAGTTTTTCATTAGGCCCAACTTGATACGCGGTGGTGGTAATAAATTTTTTTTCGAATCTACTAATGGCATATGCTGTACATTTTTTTGACCTGGCTCTAGGAATTGACGAACAGGCCAGTTTTGTCTGGTGTAATGAAGTGCCTTTGCCCTACTGTCCCATTCACACAAAAAACAGCAAAACTTTGTGTAGCCTAGCTGCAGCCCAAGTAAAAGAGCAACAACTTTCAAATCGCCACAAATATGCCATTGGTGCTCATCGTATTTTATGCATGTCAATAGATACTTCATATTGTCATATGATTCTTTCATGTGAACTGCATACCCTACAGGAAGAGATGGTAAAATATTTCCAATATGCAATAACACTGCCTTTAAACTCAATGTTGAACTGTCTATAAACAATCTCCATTCTTCTGGGTTATAGTTTATAGTTAAAGCCGCCAGTAAGCCGTTAAAGTTACTGCAGAAAACCAAGTTATTCTCCATATTGCAAAATGGTTCTAAGTCTTTGTGGCGTTTACGAAAAACACATACCGAAACATCGTCTTCTAACAAGTTCCACTGGTGCAGTCTTGATCCAAGTAACTCTGCCTTACATTTTGGAAGTTCTAAATCCCTTACAAGATCATTTAATTCTGACTGTGTTATTTTGTGCGGTTGGTGGCATGACGTGCTCGGTATAAAATCAGGATCTCTTGTCGTTGATGGCATATCTTCTTCCTGACGAATCACTCGATCGCCTTGATCTGATTCGTTTTCTGATTCGCAAGTGTTGGATTCTGGGGGTTTTGGAATAGGATTTTCGTCACTGTGAGGCACAGGTCTCATCGCAGATGGTATGTTTGGGTAGTTAATAACCGATTTTTTTTTCTTGGATATACCTGTGGCTTGTCCAACACAAGTAACAATCATTAATATGATTTGTAGGCTCTCTCCAAACCATTGGGACAGCAAAGCGCATAGACCGTTTTTTGCCATTTAACCAGCTCCTCAGACTTGAAGCACATGTTTTAGAGCAGATGTGGGGTGCCCACTGTTTGTCTTGATCACCTAGTTTACAACCAAAATAAAGTTGATATGCCTTTGTTATTAGTGGAGTAATAGACCGTCTCTGAGACGCAAAAGTCACATCACCACACACGTAACAAAACTGATCTGGATTGTTTACACACTTTCGAGACATCTTGCATGAACGCTGTCAGCCAACTGAGGGAAAAATGGCTAATATAAAACAATATAATGTACACGTATGTATAACGTAACACAATCATGCCGATTACATCATCTTTCCTTGCCGAATATAAAAATGTAGCACGTGCATTCTTGTGAATTACAGTATATCAACACTGTCACACCAGGAACACATATAATTACCGTATCTCTGAAACTTGAACTAATATTGAAAAACTAAGTTTCATTCCGGTTTTAGCACATTAAAAATAGTAATATTTTGTTGATTTTATTTAGGATATTTTTTGGTTGTTGATCAGTGTAATTTTAGAGCACAAAGTAAAAACAATAGTTATTCTAAGGCACAGTTAGCACAGGGCACAATCCGTACCATTACATATAAACAGCAGCTAATTGCAACAGAAACCACCCGGCGGTTTATATATTATATTATAGCCCAGTTATTTCGCCGTATGTAAAACACCGTTCTGGTATTCACCGACGGGAAATCGCTGCCGCGGAATCACCGATGGGTCATCACCGACGGAGCACTACAGCGTTTCGTTTAGTAATTCCCTGAATGTTATGATTTCCGACCGGTTTGTTGATACAATTTGGTGTTCGTACATTTTAATATATTTTGAATCATATTTTATAAGTACAATCGGAAGCTATTTTAAAACTAACATATTTGTTTCTTAGTTTATTCTCTATCTCTCGTCTATTTTTTGTCCCTGCTGCCTAAAATTGTCTTATAGCGTTTAGAATTCCCTAGATTTTGTACAAGCTTAAATAAACTTCATTTTTTCGGTAAGCTTGCTCGTAATTCCCTAGATATAGGGAAATGTCCCTAGGTCTGGTAACACTGTGCGGAGACTTACTAATAAAGGACTGCCCTTTCTAATAGTGCACCGTTGCCAGTTTTAACTCGTATAGTTAATGGGCATCTCAAAATATACAGCGTGCCCCTCGTATTTAGACAGCTTGGAATATCACAAGCTAGACGTTCCATCCCATCTGGTGCTCCACCATTAAATAATCGAGGCATATCCAACATCCTCGCAATTTCACTCACGTCAGTGAGAAACGGTTTTGAATTAGTTAAATAGCTTTGTCACGGTTTACCACGTCAACTAACAAGGAGCAGCTCTGCATCGCGTCGTTTGCATCGCTTGTCGTCTAACATCATGCATTCAGAACAGAAATTCCATTCTCCATCGATCCTAGGTAGGTAGGTTTATTTAGACACAAGAAGTGAGTGATTGATGGTGTCAAATGCTTTAGTAGAGTCAAGAAGTATGAGACCTAGTGCTCTTTGGTCATCAAGTGCCATGGTTGTATTGTCTGTTAAATCACAAAGTGCCGAAGCTGTATTATGACCTTGTCGAAATCCAGATTGTTTAGATGGAATAATTTTGTTAGAATATAAGTAGGTGCAGAGCTGCTCGTAAACAACGCGTTCCAGTACTTTAGAAAAAATTTACAGTAGACTGATCGGTCTCAGTTGACCATAGTTAGTAGGATTGGAACACTTAGGTAGCGGAACAACTATAGCGCGTTTCCACTGATTGGAGAAATATCCCATCTCTAAACAGCAGTTGATAATGTGTTAAGTACACATCAATTTCAGGTAAACATAGTAGTGTCATAATATGCAAAGTTATACTAAGTGACATATAAATCCGAACACCCAGTTTAAATAGTTTTATTTTAATAAAAGTTGGTGAATGTATTTATCTTACTGTAAATAACAAGTGAAAAAATTTTCAGCCTTATCAGTTGGACATTCCGGTTTTTATACTGCTTTTTTTTTAATTCACTAACGCTCTAAAAATGAATATTTCAGCCGCAGTAAAGAATCAACGTTGGCGGATTTTGGTTCTTGACATCCTTTACGATGGGTTACGATGCCTAGAGTACGGAGACCTGTACGATTTCGTCAACTTAGTGAGTTTGATAGGGGCCGTATAGTGGGACTCCGGGAAGCTGGACTTTCTTTTCGGGCAATTGCAGTTAGAGTGCAAAGAAGTGTAGACACTGTGGTTAGGTGTTGTCAGGCATGGCTTCGAGAAGGCCGTACGCAAAGTGCAAGGGCACTTTACGCCGCCGTAGAACAGACCGTGAAGATCGCCGCCTAAGATTATTGGCCTTAAGGGACCGTTTCTCCACTACCTGGTCCATTGCAAATGAATGGTTTGCAGAACACGGAAGACCTATCATACCGGCCACACTGGGTCCTCCCTTTAACTCGAGAACACCGACGTAATCGCCTTGAGTGGTGCAGACAACGGTCGCGCTGGGATCAGGAATAGAACAATATTGTCTTTAGTGACGAGTCTCGATTTTGTTTAGGCATACACGATGGTCGTGCCAGGGTTAGAAGGCGACGTGGTGAAAGGAGGAATCCACAGTTTTTTGTTGAAAGACATGTTCATCACACTGTTGGAGTTATGGTTTGGGGTGCTATAGCTTATGGTTCCAGGTCACCTTTAATCTTCATCAGAGGTAACATGAACGCGCAGCGTTATATCCACGAAGTTCTAGAACCCCATCTTTTACCCTATCTTGACACCCTGGCAGATCCAACTTTCCAACAAGATAATACCCGACCACATGTTGCAAGAGTCACAATAGACTTCTTTCAACATAATGATGTCACATTGTTACCATGGCCACCAAGATCTCCCGACTTATCCCCAATTGAGCACGTGTGGGATATGATGGGTAGGAGATTGCTCAATTTGCAACGTCCTCCTCAGACTGTAGAAGCACTTCGAGAGGAGTGGGTGGTTGCCTGGAATGAGATACCACAGGAGGACATTGACCTGATCAGAAGCATGCCTAGGCGCGTTGGAGAATGCGTAGCACATCAGGGTGCATCCACACATTATTAAAGGTCAAAGGGCCTTAAAGCAGTGCAATCATTTTGAAATTTTTATCATTTACTTATTATGCTTCATTAAGTACTTATACAAAATTTTATTAAAATAAAACCATTTAAACTGGGTGTTCGGATTTATATGTGACTTAGTATATTATCTGCACCGCTAGAATTTGATTTTTTTTATGTATAATTTTAACAACGGTGTCAGTCACTTTATTCAATTGAAATTTGTATTTTGAGTTATTTGTATTAGCTCGGTACTATGCA